CGAACACACTGAGGTGCGGGTGGCCCCGAGAACTCTTATACACATTCCCTCCTCTTCCACTCATCCCTCAGGTGGTGGCCAAACTCCTGACGGAACGGGCAGAGGTTCTCCTGATGGCATCATTCTGGCCCAGGAGGTCCTGGTACGCAGACCTTGTCAGTCTCTCCGTTCAGAGACCGTGGCGAATTCCTCAGGATCAAATCTCCCTCAGCCAGGGGGCCATCAGTCACCTGGACCCCCAGTGGCTGCAATTAGCCATTTGGCACTTGAGGGGGACCTCCTGAGGAAACAGAACATCTCTGACAAGGTCATACAAACAATAAAAGTGTCCAGGAGACCCTCCACTACCAGAATATACGATGCGACCTGGGCCGCCTTTTCATCTTGGTGCAAAGATAGAGACATTGTTGACTTTTCTGCTTCAGTCCCTCAGACTCTGGACTTCCTACAGGAGGGTCTGGACAAGGGTCTGGCACCCAGTACACTCAGGCATCTGGTTGCAGCATTATCGACCATCCTGGCCAGGGGTTCTTCTCAATCTCTGAGCCAGCACCCTCAAATTAAAAGCTTTCTGAAGGGCACAACGAAAATCAGCCCACCGTTGGCTATGCGCTTGTATCAAGCTGGCGTATGAACATTAGGGCAAGACGGCTCCGTGCAGGCTCACCGCACACTCTACTAGGAGCACGGCTGCCTCAGCAGCCTGGGTGACCCAGGCATCTATTCTGGACATCTGCAGGTGGCCACATGGGCTTCCCCCACCACCTTTATAAAGAACTACAAAATAGACACCTTTGCCTCAGCCTCAGCCTCCTTCGGAAGAAGAATTTTGCAAAGAGTTGCTGATACTCCGGAAACTCCGGTCATTACCCGCCTTGGGACACAATAGCTTGGGCATGTCCCACACTTGGACGCTCCAAGCAGCGCACTGGAGAAAGACCGTTGGCTTACCTGAATGGTCGTTCTCTGGGCACTGCGAGGAGAGTCCAAACCCGCCCAGGAGGTTTTTCTTCCAAAAATGTGACTGTGTTATTGACTGTGAACCTTTACCATACGATTGTCCTTTTGTTTTTAAGCTGAACATAGGGAGGCAAATGGAGGCGTGGTCAAGAAAAACATTACTCAGTCAAAGGACAGATAGGCTGTGTTAACCCACGCTTGGACTCTCCTTACAGTGCCCAGAGAACGACCGTTCAGGTAAGCCAACGGTCTTTTTACACAAATTTATCTTGTGTGTCAGTTGTGCTCATACCTAGATCAGGAAGCACTATTCATAGTTACTCATCGCTTGGTTGCTTCTCTATATTAGGAAGCACTATTCATAGTTAATAATCGCTTGGTTGCTTCTCATCTGGATTGCTGCAGTGTGCTTTACATGGGGCTGTTCTTGAAGATCAGAAGCTATAACTGATCCAGTGCACATTAGTGTGAGTAGTTGCAGGAACATCCATATAACCCTATTATGGCACAAGCCATAATAGTTACCAGTGAGCTTGGGGTGCATTTTAAAGTGCTGGTGATCACCCATAAAACCATATATGGCACAGGGCCAAGAAGAGGCTATCTCAAGTTATCTGCCTATCCAACAAGATTGGACATGCTCCAAGACTCATCTATCAAACTGCCATTTTATGTCACTCAATTAGCATGCCTTCTCAATTATTTTACTACAGTCTCTGCCCTATGGAGCATAATGGCCCACCCCCAAATAAGGATGGCACCAGTAGTGCTAGCCTTCAGAAAGGTTTGGACCTGATTCTTTTTGGCACTGGATCAAGATGTTGCATCAACTGTTAATATGTGGTATGTGACTTAGTCCTGTTGCTATATGGGACTTCATTTGATTTTTATGTTATGGTTCTTTAATCCTTCTTAATGATTAGGGAAGCGGGCAGCATAATTTGAACATAGAAAAACTTGAGTTCTTGAATTGCATATTGCAGTATTTTTTCTCTTTTTGTAATTTTAAAGTTTAATTGCAGATGTAAACTCTGGTTTACCAGAAATTTTAAAAAATAGAGAATGAGTTGCAATGGAAAAGGGAAGGAATTAGTGTTCCAAACTTGTTCAAATAGCACCAGATCACATATTAGATTTGGATACAAATCTGCTATTGACTGAAATAATTCAATTGCATGATTAGAAATTTTTGACTTACCGTATTTTTCAGAGTATAAGATGCACCTTTTTCCCTCAAAAAAGAGGGTGAAAATCTGGGCACGTCTTATACACTGAATACAACATTTTTTGGTCTCCCAAAACCCCGCCCCTTCACCAAAATGGCTGTGCATAGCCTTTAGGAGGCTACCAGAGTGCTCCTGGGGGCTGGGGAGGGCAGAAATGAGCAAAAAACAGACTTTTTTTGCTCCCCCCAGCCCCCAGGAGCACACTATAAGCCTCCTTTTGACAAAAAATAAGCCCATTTTTGCAAAAAATGAGCCCATTTTTGCAAAAAATGA